TTCAATTATAATTTATTTGGTATCAATCTAATAATAATAATAGTATGTTAATTGTTTACTATGAATAAATGTACCTAATCGTTAAAATAAAATAGAAATTAATCATTTATAAATAGGCGACCGCCAAACAGATGGAATATTTCCAAAACAATGTRTATACCTATTAAAAGACAAATGCATTTAAATGATTTACCTTTAAATTAAGTAGTTCATTGTTATTATGCAACATAAATTCTGCCACAGTATCATCGTTATTGTAACTTTTCCGTCTTACCGATGGCAAAAACGACGCCCAAACAACGGCGAAAACAACACCTAAAATATTACAACAGATACAGATAGGATGTTGAACGATTTTTGTATATCATAAATTATTAAATCTAACAGTTATAGGTAATTAAAATATAAATAAAAGTAAGTTTTAATGCATTTATACTAAAAGTTAATTGGAAAAATCTATACATATGTATACATATATTCTGTTGGTAAACTTTTAAAAATATCTAGCTTTTTTGAGGTAGGTATACTCAATAGCCACACATTAATTAATTCATAGTTATTTTACTGTTTTTTCTTAAGTATTTAAGGCAATTTCGAATTTTTTGTTTATCAAAAATAAATCTTCTGCCTACGCTGAGTATAATATCTTTGAATAAAATAGTGATTTTTGATTATGGGCCAATAATAATTGTGATATTAAAATTAATTTGAAAATTAAAACTGTCGTTGTTTGGGCAATTATTAAACTATTTTTGCAGTAGTACCAACCTTTAATTAAATCTATATAATACTGCAAATAACCACACACTATAATTTAATRATTATAATATGATAAGTGGTATATGAATAAAAGTATACATTATATACGTCCGTTTAGGACTATTAGGAGTATATATTTATATTTATWTATATTTACGGGCTKYAATAATAATTTTTCAGTTGAGCACGTAATATTATAATATTATACTCACYACCCAATGTGTAACACGGTAATTGTTTAACGTAATCCTTTCCATAAATAACCACTAMCGTTTGGGCGAATACCAACGAACAACATTTTCCCATCAACATTGCGGTCCTAGCTAATCCCGATGTMACCTGATAGTATCTCTTGTCCYGTAAACTAGCGAATAAATAACTGAAGTAGACTACTTCGTACGATTTGAAGAAAGCAACACATAGTTTAGCTACCTGTATAAAAAARCAAAATCCGTAAACTTAAGGCGTCCTAGAGAAAATAATAATCGTTCATATAGGTTAATTATTATTAATTATAATAACTATTATTATTATTTCCGTGAAACAAAAATCGGTCACATATTAGATTCTACTCCAACTTCGTCGTCTCCATGACGTTTTTAATGATCTAATTAACTTTACTATTGATATTGCAAATATAATTTATTGTTTGTATAATTGTATATTCCAATGTCAAAAATTAAAAAAATTCTAATCGTAAGCCTTAGTATAGATGATTTAATGTCAAGAAAACTTAATAAAATATAATTATAAAACAATAAAGCATATTTTGCAGGATCCATCTTTACGTTTATGTTTACAAAGTATGAGTGCACATCCTATACGTGTATATAATAGGCGCATGGCGCATTTAKAGACAGTAAGGGCAGTAACCTTAAATACATCGTAAATTCGTATTACTATAGAGTATAGATCATATAAGAATCGTACTTACTTTTGACTGTATGAAATTAGGCAACATAACAAGATTTGAATAAACAAAAATTCCGCAGAAGACATTGAAAAAGATAACTGGTTTGTAAAGAAAATAATCAGTGATCATCATTATCACCGTGACCGTCAATACGCTGAAATAGTCTTCAAAACGTATCAATTCATCTGTCACCTAGAGCAAAGAATATGTATAAACAATTATTGCTAGAAATAAGTTAAGCTTCAAAAATTTGTCTGCTAACAATAATAATTTAGAAATTATTTTATATAAATTATCTCCTATTATATTGAGATCAAGATTATTATACAACAATTTCTAAAATGTAAATATTTACATTTTATCACGATCGAAGTATTACAATTTATGTATACATCAAGGTAATATCTTTTTGTTCTAATAGGTATATGTGTTTTAAATTTGTATATAATAATATGCTACTATCAATCTCGAAAATATTGGAATGATTTTATTTAATTATAATTATTATACCTTAAAATCTAAATAATATAACTTAACATCTATCTCAAGCTCAACACATTCCTTTACGTATTCGTGTGTTATTAAATTTAGGTACCTACTATTATTGTGACTACTAAATTACTATAATTTATAATCATTAGTTTAATTAAGATATTTGTAAATTAGTTGTTAATATATCTTTTTATTATACTTTAAAATATTAAAAAATCATTTTGTTACATATTTAAAAAACAAAACTCGTATATTAAAGTCATGTTATATGACGTATTATCCATATTCATTTTATGGAAATATTAAATGATGGCTTCTTAAATATATTAAGTAGATATTAATGAGATAATATGATTATTGAAGATATTCACGCGCGGTTTTAAATATAATTTTGATTATATGTRTTTACCATGATTATCTACTATTATTCACATGGTAGCAGGAATGGCGCTAGRGTTTGCGGGGCCCCGGGCAAAATAAATAACAGTCACATTACATATTATCCAAACTAACTAATCTCTGAACAGTATAAAATAAAATTTAAGAACTGCGGGGCCTTGATTATAATTTTAAAATCGCGGGGCCCGGGGCAACTGCCCCGATTGCCCCCCCTCGCGCCGTCCCTGCATGGTAGTATGTTACAAAATATTTTTCTGTGTATCAAATTGAATTATTCAAGTAGGTAAGTAACTAGTAATTTGATTTTCTATTGAGGAAACTATATGTATAGTCCTATGATGAACATCAACATTTATGATAATAGATACATAATGTGTAATTAGTCGAAAACTGTTTGCAACGACTTCCATAAATCAAAATGATCAAAAAAAATAGGCAATTTTCTGAAAAATTTTATTTAAAAGAGGGTTATTWTTGTTAATAAGAGATTTTGTATCACCATATAAGACATTCGTTAAATGATTCAAAAATCGACTACAAATTGTTTTGCGCACAATCTATAATTTTTACCTAAAAAATSGGAACTCGTTTGAGCACACGGTTATATTAAATGTACAACTGGTTAACGCACACGAAAATAATTATATTATTTTATCTCGGTGACWGGTGGTCATTGATAATTATRKATAAAGAGTGCGGAAATGTAGACCAAATTAAATGCATACAAATAATGGGAAACTGTTATTACGGAAATTAATAGACACGTATATTATCCTATAGTCCTACACGTATATTGACCAATCATATTATATTAAAATTAAAATTAACATGCATTTTTAATCACACCTATAAATACATTCATTGACAGTCCTAAGTTTAGGAAGGTTAGGAAATGGAAAGTGTATGTAAGTGTTTTTATAACTTATTTATTAATAATCAAATATTAATATGCAAAGTATTAAACTATTAAAGTCTAAAATATAACTGTGCGCAAACCATGTGTGTATAATGTATAAAGACTGTTCATCAACTGTTCCCAAACGAGTGGTAGTATTGTGCCCAAACAAGTTGTCTTTTTGGTATTTTTTTTTATTTTTATCTTTTTTTGTATTTTGTAGTGCCCCAAAAATCATGAGATAGATATTCGAAAACATARTCTTTAAATATATTTAAAAAATTAAATTATTAATACAGCAAAGCCTTATTATAACGGACCCTTTATAAGACGCCAAAACGTAAATCTCCTTACAATGGAAAATAACAATAGTCCTGTACATCCCGTATAATTTAGTCTCCCTTATAACAGAAAAGTTATTTGGTAGGTACAGAGCGATTTCTTTATAAGGACGTTTTATTGTAACTGCAATATTAAAGAAAAGATCTTGTTCGTCGAATGGCGRACAATTTCCCCCCGGACATATTTTTTCCCCCGACTGTTTTTGGCGTTTTGGCGTATATTTCCCCCCAATATATTTTCGATGCGGACATTTCCCCCCCATTTTTCTTTTAAGTTTATTATTGAATAATATAATATAATTTATTATTTAATGAGAAATTATTAATTTTTTTAATAAAATATTATTTTTTTTCATAAATATAATCAATTATACTATAATTAACTTTATAAATTTATACTATAAATCTTTTAGCATCGAAAATATATTGGGGGGGTGGGAATATCCTACTACGCCAAAAACAGTCGGTGGGGAAATGTCCGGGGGGAAATTGTCCGGATACCTTGTTCATCATGTTTCATAAAAGTATCATGCTAACAAAAGTGAGGAATCATAAAATATATGTTTTTGGGTATATTACAGTGGAAAAATATCTATATAGTATTTGTTTAGATCTATGCTACACTTTGTTAGGTATTTAATTATTTATTATTATTTTATCGTCGATTTGCGTTTCTATGATWATAAGCGAAGCATCGAATTATGAAAATCTATTAGCATATCAAATAATACTCAGCCCAAAAACAAATATATGTTAAAAAAAGGAGGTGTACACGTCTGGTTAAATACTCTATATATAGTTAGCAAAACATTAGCTCATAATTCATGCTCATGAGTTATAATATAGTTGATAATTGATATAGATGATTTTTATGCAAATTAATTATTATTATAGATATCAGAACTCAGAAAGCTATAAACCTTATAAGTTAAAGTTTTACATTTATTTTTATTTCTTAAAAATACAAATTTTTAAGTTGGTTATAAAAATTAATATACAATATTCATCAATTTGAGTACCTGAGTATCTGTAATTTTTATTCCTTGGCTAGTGAGATAGCTAGTCATGAAATGATCCACGGGTCGAAATTCCATGGCAAATACGAAAACTACCGATAGGGCAATAATTGTTGTCCAAGTATGCATTTTAAAAAATATTTAATATCTCAGTTATTCTTAAAAAAAAAACTGAAGAACAGACACGATTATATCGATTGCAGATGTTTTTAAATATATATTAGTACCGCATACAATATAGTCAGATAGGCGAATGTGTATAGAATCTAGAAGATATAATAATATTTACTTTCGCATTTATTGATAAACATGGAGAATGAAAATATGCCATCAAACCGGTTTATAAAACCAGTAGAATATAACAATATTGACATACGTTTTAAGCACTGGTGTAGTGGAGGGTATACATACGGCGTATACCCGAAACGCTAAAATTCTTAAATGCGTATAGGAAAGAAAATAAAATAAATACGCGRGTATACGGTCGTAGTTTTTTGGATGATAACCATATTACCATAATTTATATAATATGTTGAATTGTATACAATTTATATAAAAATTTCTGATTTTTTTTTACTATCATTACTCCAAAATAATAATAAATAATAATAAGGGTATCAGAATCAACCAGAATAAAGCATTTTTGGATAGTCTTTATGCTTTATACAACAGATCACCAAAAAATCAAAACGAACTTAAAACAATATGCACTGAACTAGATATGATATTTTTAAAAGTTATATACTATACAATATACCTATATAGGGGCAGAGCCCCCCACGTATTAAATRTATTTCTCAATTTAGGCGTATACCCAAAACAATATTTACGACTACACCACTGGACTTTTAAGTAGTAAAAATAGCATATATTTATAATGACATAATGCAAATCGTAATAACACAGGTAATTTGTTTCATTCACGAATTACGTGTTTATTATTTGGGGGGGTGTGAAACATGATCAAAATTCAGAAAAAATACAATGCGCACAAACCACAGAATATAGATTAAAACAAATCATCTTACTTTCAAACAGATAATCTAGAAGTCGAGAAGGCTATAGACGATCGTAGTTTTGTACCTATCTACATATTATATTTTGTACCTAATATTTTTTTTTTTTTGTAATGTATAGTTATCTATACAAATATGGTTATGGCCTTGTTTTAACTGTTTTTCAAAAAAAAATCTTCAAAACTGCATACACAATTTTTCGAATGTGATGATACTTTATCGTTGATAATAATTTTATTTATAAGCATATATACGTGTATAATAGGTAATATATGGCATACCCGTGGCGGTGACAGTGTCGCAGTACGTGTATAAAGCCATGTACCACTATAAATTCTTGCACGTGTAAGCACTTAGCACTTTTACTTATGTTTTGATAAAATGCTTGAGTACTTGGCAGGAGGCATTATTTGCACTACCTGAGAAATAAATAGTGAAATACGAAAATTCCTTCTTTGTTAATTTATTTCCATAAATACAGCTAAAATAATGAAAATTTGAGAAACTGTCGCAYTTCCATATAATAATATAAACACACTCATGAAAGAACGAAAATACTATTGGAATTTTAATATTAGAAAATCGTGGTTTGTGATAAAATATTATATTATAATCAGCTACTTTGTAAATCGTAGTTGACCTTGAGAGGTCGAAATAATTTATATTTAATATTTTGATACCATAGTTAAAGTTCGGATTAATAAATTAGTGACCAGTGTAATATTATAATTAACTAGCCAAAATCACTTATGTTTTAGTATCCTGTTTTTTTCATACTAATCATACATTGACAGTGTCGGATTTCAAATTTTGGAGGCTTTGGGAAAAAATAATGTGGGCCCATGGATCTAATAAATTGTTTATGCTTATCCCTCTTTATGCTATACGCAGTAAACATTTAAAAACACGTCTTCACGTTGATTATTTCCAAATAAATGAAAAAAGTGTAAACGTAACAATCGTGTGATATATTAAAGAATGTCAATAATTTTCGAAAATCCATTCGTAAAAACCAGTCTTACATTACTATTATCAATTATTTTTATACCCGACATAATTAGGTATTTAGAATTTCATATAAAATTATATGACTTAAAGTCGTTTTACTATAACATTCATTTACCATGCGTAGGTACCACAGAATAATTTGTTTGGATACACTTTTCCAATATACACGTCTTATGCTAATACATATATGTATATATATTATATATATTATATATATATATATATATACATGTATTATAGTATTTATATGATATATTTATAAAAATAATAGATATATTAAAAAGTCACTATAATTTATTTGTATACCTTAATAATATAGTTAATAATTATAAACCATCATAAAAGGCAATGATATTCTAAAATTTTATTTACATATCTCATATATGTAGTCAATCACACATGATGTAAGTTGATGTACGCTATATAGTAAAAGGTATAGCTATTATTGGTATGATGATATTATTTTTATTTTTAATTATAGGTACCTATGCTACTGTAATATTTTTTGCAGGGTATCAAAGAAATTTAACAAAAAACTTGAACATTTAAATGAAAAAGAAATACACTATTATTGAGCCTTATACGATGCCTGTAGCAAATTATGATAAGTTCACACAATTTATATATAATCTCCGTGAATTCATSGTTTAATCATGTGTAACTAAACTTACATGTAGATATAAATATATATATATTAGATATCGCATTGATTTATGGAATACTAAATGGCACACAATCACGGAAAATAAATTAAGAGAAATTAAGCACTCTGTGGAACTCTGGCAAAAGTACACTGATCTAAACAGAAAATATGAGGTAATTCTTAATTGGCCACACGAAATTTACGCATGGACACCTTATGTCAAAGACAGATCCAACCCTATATGCTCAACATGCAATGAAAACTACTCCATCAAACATATCATCGTCCACTACCCAAACTTCAATGAAGCTAGAAAACACTTCGACATCCCTGACAGGTGTACGCGAAGCAATTGGTCCATTTTCCAACTATCATAATATAATCTTATACCTAAAAAATATCGATTTGTATAATAAAATGTAAATTGTAAAAATATAAAATGTTTGTAAAAAGCTAATAAACTGTGCAGTTGATGTTTAAAATAATATATATTATATTTATTGAATGTCATACCAAAAATTGCAACTATAGTTATATTTTTAATGTATTAGAAATGCACGTAACCAATATTACGAGTTATACAAATGTAACTATGTATAGCCTATAGCTATAGGTTACATTATTTTGAAACATTATGATAAGTAACCGATTAATATATCCAATCTTGCATATAAAATATATAATTATTTCGAATAAAATAGCCTGCACAACCTATAAG